CTGTAGAATACAGGAGAAACGCGTAGATACCAGGCGGAATGAGTTTTGATCCCGAGAAGATTGATTAACGTCGATATTTTGAAGAAACTTCAAGTCTGTTCAAGAAACATTAACTTCAATCAATCTTCTCAAGTTCCGAAGTTATTCATAATTGTTCTACGGTATTTCAGCTTTAATTTAAGAGAAGCTCGTCGCTCCATCCCCCATTCTAGCAGAAGTTCTTTGACTTTCGCGCAAAAATTACCGGATGTTGCCACCGCTCACGGATAATTCCGCCTGGCACCGAATTCTCATTATCGACGATTTAGCGTCGTCCCACTTCTCACCGCGTCCGTCTTCCCTCTTCCATGGGAAGATGGCGGTGCCGCGTCCGACCGGCGGGTATCAATCGCGGACTTCGAATCTCAATTTGTCTCCATTCCGAGGACAATTGGTTTTGTCGCCGCGAGCAGCTCCGCTCGTTTATTACGCGGTTCGAAAGAATTAGGGTGAACTTCGGAGCACGCGTGGCGAAGGACAGAGGGAATTTGAATGATCGACGCGCGGATGAAAAGCTTCGAAAATAAATTCCAGCGGAAAGTAATATCTGCTGGTGAGAGAACATCTGTCACTGATCCTCAGTTTCATTACAATGATTGTCTCTAAAATGTATTCTTCGCTGAATGAAATTTACAGTTCCGTTTGGAAACAAATAAATTCTGAATATTCTGAAAAATACTGATACTAAAGAAAATATCCACGATCTCGAAAGGACATAGGTCACTCATCTCAAAGAATCTAGATCCTCGATCAATTTCATAGTTCCTTACTAGAGATCTTTGACGCAGCACGATCCCTACAATTGCTATTTTATTTTTGCTAAAGAAAATGTCCTCGATCTGGAAAAGACACAGGCGACTCATCTCAAAGAATCTAGATCCTCGATAAATTTCATAGTTCCTCACTAGAAGAAATCTTTGACAGCCAGCATGATTCCAGTAATTGCTATTTCATTTTTGCTAAAGAAAATATCCTCGATCTCGAAAAGATACAGGCGACTCATTTCAAAGAATCTAGATCCTCGATCAATTTCATACTTCCTAACTAGAAGAGATCTTTAACGCAGCATGATCCCTACAATTACTATTTTATTTTTGCTAAAGAAAATATCCTCGATCTGGAAAAGATACAAGCCACTCATCTCAAAGAATCTAGATCCTCGATAAATTTCATAGTTCCTTACGAGAGATCTTTGACGCAGCCCAGCATGATCCCAGCAATTGCTATTTTATTTTTAGGTCGTCCTCTGTACGGCGTAAGAAACGTTGGCTTGTCACCTCGCGATATCGTTTCCTCCGATCAAAGGTGAATTCAAAGGGCAGGAGATTGAAGTGTCCTACAAACGGAACGTCGGGGCTCGCGCGGAGACGCTCGGACAGCTTTGTTGCGGGAGTCGGTGCGGTTTCAGAACGGGCCGGGAATCTCCCGATACCGCGACGGACGTGTCCCGAAAGGGGTCCACGGGTGTACAATTTGTTTTCGATTTGTACGGTACACGTGCTAGATGAACTTACGTCCGTTGCGGTCGGGGGTCGTGTGCGGCTGTTGAGGTCTCCCATATAGGGCCTGACAGATGGACCTGGACAGGTGCCGAGGGCAGTGACGAATTCATCGACCGAGTTTGATCGTCGCGCTAACTGCCCTGCAATTGAGATTGACGAGAGGGAGCCCGGCGGTTTGCGAAATGAACCGACAGTATCTTGGATAAAATACTCTTAACCATTTGCACTCGAGAGGCGACTGTTAATCGGCATTTGATTGAACGCAACAAAATTATAAAATGAAGAATTCGATATAGAATGTCGAACAAGGTATAAACCCTTAGCAGTCCTATGTCAGACTCGACATTCTATTTTATTGCAATTTCTACCTGGTTTAACAATTTTTTCTATATTTATCTGTAGTATCAATTGTACCATTTAAAGGTAATTTCGATGACTCCCAAATGTTCTTGCATAAATAAATAGCGTCATATTAAGCTGCAATTGAATGAACTGTCGATGTGAACCTCAAAGTGAGAAACCTGCACTTCGGACCGCAAAGGGTTGACACGTGAAACAGAAATGAAACAACTTCTCCCCGTAATTTATGTTTCGGCGCGAGCAGAGGTTCGCGATGCGATCGTGAACTCTACGTTCTGTGATGCTCGCCTCCAATGCGAAATTAATTGCGATGGAAGACTATTAGTTGCTTCGATCGTCGCTAACTGCCCTGCAATTGAGACTGACGAGAAGCTCGGTGGTTTGTGGAACGAACCGACGGTATCTTGGATAAAATACTCTTAACCATTTGCACTCGAGAGGCGACTATTAGTCCTCATTTGATTGAACGCAACAAAATAATGAAATGTTGAGTAAGGTCTTAACCTTTTGTACTCGGGATTTCCTACAGTGGAGCTATAAAATTTTATGTTTAATATTATGCTTCATATAATGCATCAATCTGAGAAATATTGACGTAAAATAATTTTGTCCGCCAATTACGTGAATTTCTCGTCGAGTTGGTTCTACAAAATATCGTCTTCATCTCATCAGAAAATGTTGAAATATTTCTAGTGAGAAACTTCGGAGTGCAAAGGGTTAACATACGAAAGATAGAAATAAAACAACTTTGCCCCATAATTTATGTTTCGACGTGAACAAAGACTCGCGATGCTACTGACGTAAAACTAATTGCAATGGAAGATTAGTTGCAGAAGATGATTGCTAGAATATATAGAAGAATGTTTAAAGAAAAACTTTAATATTGGTATGCGATTACAATTTGATGGTTCGGAACGAAACACTAGATAAATTTAATAATTCACTCATTAGCTATGAGTTAATTGATTTCTAAAAGGAAACATCTGTTGTATTATTCAATACCATTTGGTAGCCAGCGAATAGACGAATTAATCTTATTTGCCTGACTAATCGTTTATACGTACTACTGCGACCGCTTGAACCGCGTAGTTCAGTGACCAGTGTATTAAATTTGTGTTACGCGATTTAACACGTTGGCTGCTGTTGACAGCCGCAGGTCATCAACGCTGGCGAGTTGCTTGACTGTAATACGTAAGACGATTGATACTGAAAACGTCTAATAACGTAAGTGACAGCGTAACGTTAGTATAGCGATAAATTCCCATTTACCATCGCAAAAAATAAGTGTCATACGAAACTTTAGACTTCCGTGATAGTCGACGCGTTCAATATGACATCCAAAGCCGATAGTTTCGAATAAACACGCGAACGCTTCAAGTTTCAACCGTTGACTTTCAAAATGGATTTCGAGTGCGCGGAAAAAAGCGACTGACAGTGTTCCGAAAAAATACCATTGGACGGCGCGAGTGTATCTATTGATTGAGGGTTGCGATTTCATTGGAGGGAAGTTCCAGGGGTGGTGCAGCGTCGGAGGTTGGGAAGGGCTGGCACAGATTTATGCGCGGGGAATGCCTGAAGGGATAGTTTAGGGTTCGCCGGGAACCGAACGCGTTCTTCTCGGACTCGCAATCGATGGAAGCCCGAAAGCTGTGACTCACCCTCTGCTTTGAAGTTTCAATAACACCGAGCATTATGCTCCTCCCGCGACCGGAATTCTTCTCGAATCAGAGGCATCGCTCGAACGAGCCGAACTCGCGAAGATATTCCATTCAGCGAAAATGATTAGACTCCCGAAATTACCGGAACTCGCGGCAACTTCGGATCGCTAATTCTACTCGGCGCTCCGAAAGCCAGCTAATTACTTCGGATATCCGGTACACCCGTATAACAGTTCGCTCGAGTTGTAGCTGTTGTTGCGCGCATGAATGGTTCGGCAAGAATCTCCGAATTTATTCCGAGCTCCGCTTTAACGGACTTCTCCGGGGGGTTCTTAACTGAAAAGATAATTAACGCGAGGTCCCAGGCGTCGCTCAGTGTTCCGGTAGTCCACTGTAATCGGGTGACTCCGCTGAATCGAGGTTGATCGGTGGAAAACGAGTCGAAGTAGTTCAGTAGTATGAATCACGTATTGTCAGACTCATTCGAATATCCTCTATCAACTCTCACTATACTAATTACAGTATCTCGTATAAATTCGTTTCATTCCCTCGGATTTCGAGAATATTTTCAGTAGTAAAAATCGCATGTGATCAGACAATCTGGTGTCTAACGTGTACGATTAAACCGCTACAGCAGTATGTACCATGTGCAGACCATATTAGTAGTTTGTTCCGAGTTTCCTCGGACAACAGCAGTAGTTTAACCCGCGTGTAGCCAGACAAACGCGAGATACCGTGTTCTACAAAATCGTACAGCTTTGATAGTGCATTATCTCGTACGATCAAGCCATTCTGATGGATTTTTCCATGCAGGATCACTCTCTCGCACATTCTTCGCGGATTAAACCGAACGTGGCGCGCGTCTTTCGACTGGAACTACAGTTAGGTCTCATTCGCGGCATATTGCCATCATTATCGCGCTCCCCGGTGACATGCTTTCTACAACGGACGTTCCACGAATGTTTGCCAAACAATTTCGACATTGTTTCCCATCTACTTGCACCGCCGTTAAATGGGACAGGTTTCCAGGGTATTAGTCCGATATTCCGGGTAAGAGGAACACGACGGGTTAGGTTTACCGTCGTTCCTCGCGGATGGCGGCTACGACTTTCCGCGAAAGCGATATTCCCGAGGCACTTCGAACTGGCGTTTATAATAAAAAAACTTGAACAGTTAGAAACCCTCTTACCCGACGTCGCGACGAGTTACAAGCGAAAATTACGTCGTTGCGTTTCTTTGGGAGCAATATCCTTACTATACTCTTCGCTTGTACATCGTCGAATTTACCTTCGTAGTAAAACAACTTCAACGGTGAGAAAGCCCTTTGTGAAACAAGCCAACGTTAAGCAGTTTCACTGTTTCTCGACCCGTGCGTAGTCAGACGATTTAAATAATCACGCGACTACTCGGAACCGCGGAACAGTATAATGAATATTCTTACCGAGAAGGCTTTGAGGAAGACGAGACATTGTATAATGCCTTCCATCGTGTCCCCGGTCAAGCAGAAAGTGCCAGTCAGATGACGACCCTTCCTGCCAATTACAGAGCAAAGGTTGGCCTGCACGAAGGTGTTTGGCGACCTGGCGGCCGCCGTTACGGCTGGCTGGTGCACTCCTGCGCTCATCAGTCGTTCCAACGAGTCCATCTCTCCTCTCCTATCGCAACGATCCGGTAACTTTTTCAACCAATCCCCTAAAGGACCAGCCGCAGCTGGCTGGCCGCCGATAGAAAACGTCCTCTATTCAGCCTCCGAAGTCAGTCTCTGATCTCAACCGACGAAACTCTCGACAATAACCATTCGGACGTGTAACGACAGCTTGAAGCACTTAACAGAAACAGCACATGGACAAGCGATAGGTCGAGCTGGATCGAAGCTGGTCGTCCAGGAACAGTTCATTCGCTTCCAGACGATTCTCCGAGAAGGGAAGCGTTCGCTGTCTCCAGTCTGAAACGTCGAGGGGACTTTATTCTGCACGGTGGCGGCAAAGAGCTAGGCCGAACGCAACGGGTCGAATCGAGTTCCAGTGGGTCTCGATCTTCCAAGGACGATAAGCGCCTCGAATCGCGCCACGTGCAGCCAGCCAGCGGGACTCTCGGTTCAGCGTCTCTCGGTGCACGAGTTTCTTTTCGGATCCCGGCAGCGTCCGGGGAACGTCGGCGATCGTATTCCCATGCATCCGCGCGTAACTGTACTCGCGGGACGAAGAGGCGGAGACCGATACACAGCGACGATCGGGAAACCTGGACGTTCCGTCGAGGAACACCGCTGTTTTGAAGGAGGGATACAGAAACGGCTCGTCGTCGCGACGGAGCAACTTCGCCGGGAGTGAGATCCCCGTTGTCGCATCGACTCTCAGTTTAAACGACACTCGCGGGAGCAACGCGAGGATGTTTCCGCTGCCCTCGGCTCCGCTGGAGCGCGCATCTTTCACGCAGCGCACGGTCTCCGCTGCATCGATCCGAATCGTCGCGATCGATCGCGATTGCCGGTGTGTACGTGCTGCGGCGATCCTATCGGCACGACTCGCGTCGTCTCCCTATCGATCCGGCCGCGGGACACGCTCCATCATGTCCGGTAGATTTGTCGGGCCGCTGGCACACGAATTCCGCGCTCCTTCTCTCGCGACGCCGAGTGCTATCGGCCGAGAACACGGCTGCCGGCTCGGCTCGGCTCGATCTGACCGACGCTTCGCCCCGGCTCTATTAGGATCGCGCTGTCATGCTGATTCGTGTAAACGTCACCGGGAGCCTTGCTCCGACCGCTGTCCGTCGGTCGATCGGTTGACGGATTAATGCTCGCGTTCCGCCTCCGTCACGCAATTCTAGGCTGCATTCCTTTGGGAGAACGGAATTCGGGTTAATGTCGGCGCAGCTGGATCTTTGATCTAATCTTCCCGTCAATGCCGGTATTGTCCCGGCGAGTCCCTTGCGGGAAGATTGCTCTCTGCGCCCGAGGATCGGTCGGACGATTAATCGCCGCGTTGATCGTGCAGTCGGAATTGTATCGAGTCTCCCGGAGACGAGATCGCGGGTGAATTAGGCGAGTGAATTAGTTCAGGCCACCGTGCTCCAGAATGCGGACACTCCGGACCGCCGCAGTCGCGGAAGAATCTTCAGCGGCCGACTATTCCTGCGCTCTTCATTAGCTGGGAACTGTTCGAGCCAATCGCGGAAGTGTATCTTCTCTATCGGTGTCCGGCGAGGATCAGCTGACACGCTCAGCGGCCGACGCGTCGATGGGTGACGGATCGCCGACGTCCGGCTGGAAGTTTCGGTAGGTTCGCGGGAAGTTCCGGCGGACCGTCGCGTCGGTTTCGGTAAGCCGATGAGGGCAGATGATCTTCGGCTTACTGCGGGCAACAGGCTGGACGGTTCTGCATCCTGTGGGAGATCGAGAACACGCGTTGCGAGGGCGGTGCTGCGGAAGTTTCGAGCGAGCGGCGCTTTTCCGCGGATTGCGGTGTGGCGTAACGCCGGATCAGGTCGCACATCTCGTAGCACAGGAAGCAGATGCCTATTATCAGGAACGTATCCATCGTATCGATCACCGTGATACTCGCCGCGAGTGAATTAGTCCTCTCGTGGGCGGGGATGGAAGCTGTCCGCCGCGAGTGTCCAGCAAAGGACGCGTTTCAGCGGAGACGAAGTAGCCGAAGCTGCTGCTCGCTGGTCTCCCTCCTCGTCCGTCGATCGTCGTCAGCGATCCCTTTGCTCTTGACCTCCGGCAGTCGTGCGAAGTAGTTCTACAACGACTTAACAGGAGATCCCACGAGCGTCCGGTATAAACTGACACTCGCGTAGATGGACACGAGACGACGATGCGTCAACGGGAAAGATCCTACTGGCTATGCCGACGCGTCAGCGGCGATTTCCAGCGTGGCCGATCTAGAACCGGCGCGCAGCTCACCGACAGCACCGTCTCGCGGTCATCACACGGGAGAGGGTTAAAGGAGGCGGCTCCGGTGTCAGCGTTCACGCGCCTCGTCTAGCAGGTTCGGCTCGCTCGCGTGAACGAGTGCCGGGCGGGAGCCACGCAGGGAGGAGGGTGGACGAGCAAAACACAGACCATGTGAGCGACGCTGCTCGAGGAGGATTCCCTGCGACGTTCTCCGGCTGTTCTCCGGCGGCGGCCTCGCGGCGCCTCCCAGCGAGTCGCGCGTGTTTACACTGCCGCCCTTCGCCGACACTCGATCCCGTCACCAGATATATCCTGTCTCTCGATTATTCCGCCGCTTCTTTCTCCGTCGACGCTCCACCGTTCTCTGCCCCCTTCTCTCCGTCAACTTGCCACCTTTCTCCCCTGTTTCTCCACACCGTGGCGTTCAATCGTCGCGCTCCCGTGTCTCTCGGCGAACTGGGTCAACGCGCAACCACGCAGTTTGTCGCGATCAAAGCGTGCACGTAGCGATCGCACGAGCGTGCGAGAGAGGCGCGGTATATCGGCGGGCTCGCAACGGGCC